CATATAGTGGTTTTGAATGATAGCTTCTACAGCTTCTGGATACTTGTCTTTGTATTTTTTAGCGTTCCAGTTTTTTGCGAATATGGCTGTGCAGGGTGAACTGGCTGCACCGAAAATGATCGACGTCATTCTATATTCCTGTAGAGCTTCATTACGTCGATCCCCTCTCCAGAGATATCTTAAGGCATCTCTGTCTTCAGGTCTGACTTTAACCTGCATGAACATTTCGGCTATGTCCGCGGAGACAGCGATTTTATGGCGGCGAAAACGCATCATGACCCCTGGTAGTGATTGCAGTAGGTCTGGACCCGTGAGCAGGAAGTCATTCAATGACACCCCCCTTTGTTTTGGCTGCGGCATCGTGTACTATTCGAAACTTCTCTGGCTTCATTGGGTTATGGACGTCGAAATGGGGTAGGTACCATGTTCTTCCCGGTGTGCTAGTTTTCGGTGCTATCTCAGCGTATCCCTTTTGTACTAGGGAATTCATTTGTTCATCATATTTTCTTTTTAGATCTTCGTCTCGATCTAATTTTCTTTCAATGGAAACGAGCCGTTTTATTGCTGTTTCATAATTGCCAGGCATCTCGATATCCTTTTTCTTCTAGAGAAGCGCTGTTTCTATGTGCCCGTCTTGTAACTGACGGGTGCTGCTATTTAGTATATCTTCAGCTTTCTTCTCTGGGTCGGAGTCTGGTCTTCTCGGATTGATAATGAGAGATTCCAGCGCGAAATATTCGCGGAGTTGGTCATCTATAGTAACCTCGCTCTTGTGCAGCTCATTGGCTGCGTGGACACGCTGATACGGGGCTTTAGTGTGTGCCCCGTGTAGCACCCATCCTAATTCTGTGAGCGAGGCAATTGGCTGGTGCGGCGGACCTCTTCGGATTTGAGTGGCTATCAGAAGTCTCCAATTGTCCTGTCCTATTAGGATCCTTGGGTTGCCGGAGTCATATATTAGCTGCTCCTTTATGTCTTTCAAGTGGTTGCACTTGGCTATGTCTACTGCACGCACAGTCTGTGGCCCCAAGTTTAGGCTTGTGACCGTGCGTGCTCTGAATGGCACCCTTTTGCTGTGGAGACTCCTCAGCGATACTTTGATTCTTCGGGATTCCGGTGAATCGAGGGTAGTGTTCCCGATAGCGGTGATCTTAAACGGGTCCAACCGCCCTGTAGCTCCAATTTGTTTGGCGATCTCTTCATCCATTAATGAAACTGTTGACCCATCATCCAGCAGGGCGTGTGTGTTTACAGCTCCCGCCGGTCCAATTACTCGCACTGGAATTATTTTTAAATAGGCTTGATGCTTTGACACAGCGAATGAGTTAGCAACAGTTTCTTGAGGTTCCTTTTGTTTGACCTCAGTCTTCTCCTTTGTATTGTTATGGAGAAGTCGATTGTGTGTCGCGGTGCATCCTTTTATTCCACACTTATTGGTTTTGCATTTGTGTGTCTGATTTCGATAACGTAAACAGCGGAAACATAAATTATTTTGCTTTGCGAGTTCCCATCTTTTGTTGATATCTGCTTCTTTAAATTTTTTACATTCAGATCCGTAGTGACCCTCCTTTTCGCACACTCTGCATTTCGGAGACGGCTTAGTAGTAGCCGCGTGTGCTCTATGTACTGAACGATTGCTTTGTGCTTCGTTTATAATTTCTGGAGGCGCAAATGCACTGCAGAAGCGAGCTTGCTCGGTAATAAACTCGCTGAAGGAGCCGAGGTCTGGTCTAGAGTCATATTTTTCAGTGTAGATTCTATACCACTATGCACGTATAGAGTTTGGCAGTTTGTCGGTGAGGTGTCGTAGCAGCTCTGCGTTGACGAGGTAATGATCTCGCTTTAGGGCTCTAAGAGTGACGACGCTTCCCCTCACTTTGCTCGCGAATGTGCAGATGTCTCTGGGCGCTTCTGTACAGCGTGCTAATCCTCGTAACTTCTCGGTTTCTGCTTGCGCGATTGAATCTGGACGCCCAAATTGTAGCTCCAGTTCTCGCATAATCTCATCTGGCTTAGCATGCCCGATGAGTTCTGAACTGACTGTTTCCAAGGCTCTTCCTTGTAGACTTCGTCTTAGTCTAGCAGTGTTTTCAATGTCATTGAAGTAGCCTCGAGTTGTTTCGTAAATGGCACGGAATGAAAGCCACTCGGTATGTGCTCCGCTAAAGCTTGGCAGTGTCATTATAGCTTTCGACGCTGCGAAAGTATGCGACGATAGTGGCGTACTCTCTAACTTTGGTTTGTCAGCGAGCGCGGCTATAGCGGATGTGAGCTCCGATATAAATGGACGGAGCCCCCTGTCTTCGCTTATGACAGGTTCCTGGCTAGGTTTCTTTGGATTGGGATCCTTTTGTACATTTTCTGGATAGGAATCCTGGTTTGTGAGCTCTGATACAATCGGTAGGAGCCCCCTGTCTTCATCAACGGTGGGTTCCTGGCTGAGCTTCTGTGGCATGGGATCCTTTTGTGCATCTTCAGGATAGGAATCCTGGTTCGTGAGCTCCTTTTGGGGCTCACTGAGGTCGACAACGTCCGGGGTCGGCTTTGTAACGGTTTTATTAAATGGTGCCTTCCCTCCGGTGATTGCGCCTTGATTTGAATTTTGTTTGGCTACAGAGTTTTCGAGCCAAGATCGAACGTACTCACTTTTGGAGTGACCATCTTCACCATAGTCGTCTGATTCGTCTTCTTCTTCCGCCATCTGTAATGAGATCTGCGCAAGTTCTAGTTTGATCTTCAATACTTCTTCACGAGCCTTCAAAATTCTTCTATTGGGCCGAACAGTCTTCTTAGACTTCGTACCGCAAACGGTGTGGCCCCTCGGTGGCTCTTCGGAGTGGGTGTCTTCCCGGGTTGGTGGCGATGATGCACGGCTAAAGTCATCGTTGCCTTCTATATGTTCCCTCTGCTTCGTTGTGCGGGCCGTAGTGGACGGCGCGGGCAGGGGTATCCCCCCCCTCGGGGGGGCAGCATGGCGCCTCAGCGCCCTCTATCGTTGACGGTGAGCGTGGTGGCATCTGGTGGTGGACGGCGGCGTTACTGGCCGACGAACCTCCTTCCAGACCGACGGTCCACGCCTTGGCTGCCCTTCCTTGTGAACGCGTGATCGGCATCTTGAATCTGAAAATTCTGCGGTTTTAATACGGTGGTGACTATTTACCCGGTTCCGAAATACAAACGGATATATCCTGCTCGAAGGACCAACGAATGTGCCGGACGGGCGAAACTCTCCGGAGTAAATGTTGTCGAAGATACTTCGCGAGTCGCTCACGTCCTACACCTATAGGTTCCGGTGGGTACTCTCACCGCCGTCTTTGTTGGTGCCGCTGAAATATTGTGGACTGTAGTTAAAATCAAAATGCACGATTAACAAATACAAATAGCAAGGTAGTGGCCAGCGGTTCGACTGATTGATTAGTCGCGAAATTTTATAACTATTTATCACGGTTGTTCACTGTATATTTCAAAAGATTTCTTTAAATTGTACGGTGGCATCAAATATCTATTGGTAGTAGCTGGTTTTCTAACACTACTGACTAGCAGCTATTATCAACTAAACTAGTTGATTTTATCACTTGTGTAACTGCGAATATCAGTTACCACTTTCACTATATGTAACTGCGAATATCAGTTACGACCTTTTTCGGCTAGCTAACACTTTCACTATGTGTAACTGCGAATATCAGTTACGACCTTTTTAGGCTAGGTAACACTTTCACTATGTAACTGCGAATGTCAGTTACGACCTTTTTCGGCTAGCTAACACTTTCACTATTCACTATATACTGCTACTAGTCACTTCAGCTACCACCGGATACCACTCACTTCACTTCACTTGTCACTGGTAGTTCTTCACACTACTACTGATACTGGGTCCCGAGCCCCTAAGGTAGACTTTAGCAATACTTTGCAGTGAGCCGCTTGCCATTTTCCGTTTTGCCTCTTTATTGCATAAACTTATCACTATACAAATGGCATAAATTGCAATATTTTCTATACAAAACTAATTGCTACACTAACATGCTATACATCATTAAATCGGTAGTCTGATACTTTATTAATATATCATAAAGGTTACTAAAAACATTAACATTGTAAAAAGTTATTAAACGAAATGTCCCAAATTTTCATAATATTTGGGCATTTTAATTCTTTAATTTTTCTATAACTACGAAATGCGTTTAATTATACAAAAATATTCCTATACTTCTTTAATCTATAAGCCATATGCTAATTAAATGTCATATTTATAACTCTTTTAGAACATAAAATTATTTTCATTAATTTTAGTATGAACTATTACGCAGTTAATTAAAAACTTCTAGAGAGTTCCACGATAAGACGCGCTGTGATTGGTCGATTTTTTTGGTATATAATAAAAGTTGTTTATATTACTTGTTATCAAAACGACATTCTATACAAACATACTAAGAGTTATAAATATGTTAAACAACTATATTAATACACGTTTTCACTCAGTTTTCTTGATAATTTCACTATTAATACATAAAACAATATTCTTTATCATTTTGTTTCTTAAGGTTGTTAGGCCGTCGCGAACAATACGGGGGGGGGAATTTTGAATTATGTAAATAAAATTGTATTTTAACTTAAATTACCTTTCATTTCATATCTAATTTCTATATAATTGTCAAGAAGTGTATCATTAATTTAATTAATAAAAAGTTTTTGACAGAACTTATGACCTGACCGAGTATATTAGATATGTTGTACATTATAGAAGGAAGAAAACCATTGGGCATCTGGAATAGAACTAGATTTCTAATATTATACTTCGACTATATATATATTCGACTTACAAAATATCACGTAAGAATGGGTTTTATGGATTTAATTTTTCTAACCCCCCCAAACTACCCCTCTCCCCCGGGACCCTTACGTAATTAATGAATGGCTCCTTATGACATACTCTCAAACATTAGAATACAACTCACTTCTCTTTTATAAACTCTGTCTCATGATCTTATGATTTTTTACAGCATTTGAACCTTGAACGGAACCGCATTACAGACCTTCGACAGTGCGATCGCTACCTACCCACAGGACTAGAGCACTTAGGTCTCGCACACAACAACATCCAAGACCTGAACGAAATCTGCCATCTTGTTCATTTATCGAAGCTCGAAAGTTTTAGCATACAGGGTAATCCGTGTGTCTCCCTATCTGGGAAGGATAAACTGTATCCTTTTAATACAATAAAAAATATGTATAAGGTATCAATTTGAGAGCTGTGGTAGCTCAGAAGTTACGGAACGCTATCGCTATAAATTTCACAATACATGAGCAACCTGGATTCGATACCCGCCGGCACCAATTAAATTGACTATAGTTCGTGCCAAATCGATTGAGAAAAACGTACATTGACCTTTCGGTCGTTTAACCAGGGGCTACAAACCTTAAATATATAGGCACTTTTTATATGTAGTACTTTCTTTATTTATAATGATTTTTTATTTTTTTATAATGATTGATATAATATATATTTGTTAACTATTGTTAAAAAGTTATGTAAAAGATCGCTGTAGAAGAAAAATCATCTATTGTTATAAAGTACTTCATTCATTTAACAATAAAAAGCATTAATTTATAACACTTTCACCGAATAAGTACGTACTTGTTCAAAAGATAAAGTTTTATTATCAAAATTATATAAGAACTTTATTTTTAGTCGGTGCATGCGGGCCGGCCCAAAAGAAGTGACACATCTCTGGCTGCCATTGTCACGTTTCTTTTAGAACGAACTGACGTAACGCGCGTTTTGTTTATTTTAAAGGGATGAATTTGCAAAAGCTCAATATGGTGATTATATTGCTTCAAATATTTTTTTTAATATGAAACTGTTATTAAATGAATTGCTGCGTTACTTACCATAAATTGAAATATAAAATATAACACATTTTTGCGATGTACCGTAAGATTTTACGATGTTTATAGGAACCACAGACAATATTATTTAAGAAACAAGTGTGAATAATATCAATATATAAATATTGTTATCACATCTAAATTGAGATCTTGTAAGTTACGCCTTTTGACACTCTGCTCATATCTGAGGTCATCGTCCGTTTTTCTCAATCGATTTGGCACGAGCTATAGAAGACTGACCATTTATATATTTTGAAATACTTGCGAAAATGGGGTTGGGGTGAGGGGTGATATTTTTGGTTCTCCGAGTGGCAGCAACGCATAGTACGCCAGTGTAATAGGCCAAACTACCTACAGCAAAAGAGCTCCATGTCTAGCAACCGACTTTTAGAGCTAGTACACATTGGGGTTAGCGTTCGACGAGCGAGTAGCATGGCGAGTCCCTAATAGCTATCTATATAAATGACAGGATATGGTCGTGCGAATAAAAACTTTTCATGGTTTAAGCATAGAATAAATCAGCACCATCTCTTGGATTTGAAGTGCTGATTTATCAAGTGCTTGGTGGTGAAAGAAATTATTGTGAGGAAATAAAATGTTTTATGGCCGAACACGCATGAGTGTACGAACACGCACAGCTTGGCGGACTTAACCCCTTGGAAGGAGAGAATGCTTGTTTTAGGGGGCATGTGCCTGTTTTCTAAACATTTTGAGCTTTCATCCACTAAAACTTCATGCTGCTTAGCCGTGGGACGTATCATACGACACCAGGGACGATATGGGTAGTATTGTGATATGAATATTTATGTGACTTATAAATTATTGTTGTTGAAAGAATATAAAATAATAATTGTCTAGGAATATTGAGCAAGTGCTTCAGTGTATTTGCTAATACTCACATTATAAAATTCATAGTGATTAGGTAAAAAGTAGAAACCCTACATTCTTTTCAAATCAGTATATAATACTTGAGCGCCTTTTTACAATGCTGCCCGTCGACAACAAAATCTAGTAGTAGTAATATTGAAATCGAAATAATTATGCCCACTTTGGATACATTGATTGACCTGTCACTTTATTCCTTTAATATGTTGCGTCTACCTACAATTAGTGTTGTATAAAAACAATTATTGTTTATAATAACATAATAACTACCATCTTTTCATTTAGAGGCCAGGGAAAAATGATATTAAGTAAATATGTTTTTGAGGTTGAGGGTTTTTCTATCCACACCATAGTATAAAACCATTAAAAAATCGTATCTAGTCATAAATTAATAAGTTATAAAAAATCAATTGGTTATTTTGAACATTTATAATTCATAAACCACATGACGAAGGAACAAGTTTTACGTAGTGTGAAACGGAACCTGTAAAACACGTATTTTATGTATTTTGGCATGGATTCTGGGCCTATGAGCCATTGTAAGACACGTTCCGTCTCCAAAAGTTTATTGAGAATGATAAACATAGTAACATTACTTTTTTCCTGGCTTTATTTGAAAATTCAATTATGGGATACGAAATAAGCTAAAATATGCAATATTATAAGCTATTTTATATCACTAGACGCGTTAGAAAATTTTCAGGTCAAGACTGGACATGATTCTTTGAAATTGAATAATTGTATATACATATATTTCCGTAATTTTCTTAACACACTACTACAGAGGGTTTGACTACAGACCATTTGTGCTGAATTGGATCATGAGTGTTAAGACTATAGATGGTTTTATTGTCAGTGCTATAGAGAGGTGAGCTGTTAATAATTTTTGATTTACTAATATAAATTCAACGGTACGTATTTTGAATCCAAAACTAATGTCATACTGTTGATAAATTTTATATGTGGTAGAGCTACACTGCGGCTGTATTTTGGTTGTAGTATGAATAGGTTGACACAACCGGGGTAAGACCACGCTCTCACAGAATACCAGCATAAAATAGCAGCTTAAAGCTGCTGTGCTTGTGTGAGTTTAGAAAACCACAGATCACTTACTTATCATCAGAGAGACTGTGCTTGTTTTTGAATTTTATTCTTCAAAAAAAACATTACTTTATCATAATCTCAAACTTATGTATTAGGCCTCTATCAGATACCTCAAGGTATAAGGAGTTACCACTGTGCCTATACTAATTTTGTAAGTTTAAGCCAAATAATAAAACCATGGCATGTTTAAAATGTAATGTAAAAAATCCATGCAATTCTTATCATAATTACTGTCTACCCTAGTACTGAATAAAAAAAAATCAAAGACTTTTCATACACTATTGTGAAACATATAAGTAACATAAAAGTAAACACCACAGTTGCCTAATGTTAGGGATACAGAATGCGGATATAAAAGTTACGAGTTCGAATCCGCCATTTGTCTATGAAGTACTGTAGTGAACCATTTTTACAATATTATTAAGCTTAGTAGGTGTGGTTAACAGAAGTTTTAGAAGTTAGTCGGCTCGACCGGGGAAGAATCACGAAATCTCACAGAATACCAGCGTGAAATAGCAGCTTAATGCTGCTTGTTTCCTAGTGCAGCTGTGGTGAGTGTAGAGAACCGGAGACCCTTTTTCTGCTAACGAGGCATTCTATCTTAGTCCTTTAGGATGACAACTCATCTGCATTTTGATCCTTAATCTATGATAGATGTAGATGTCTATGGGTCACACCATCCACTTACTATTAAAGCGGACAGTGCACACGTTTTGTCACCCTTATTCCATAAAAATTCTTGTATTTTTAAATCACTTAAAATATTAAAAGAATATGTAAATTACAATTGATGATGTAAGCATTTGATTAATGTTATAATGTCAGTCTTAGCATAGACTAGCAATTTGCCCAGGACTGGATTATGGTACACTCTCTATTCCTTCACTGTCATAGTCCTATGGGACGACCAGAAAGAGTTCCGGTGCAGGACCAGCGACTTTACGTGCGTTTCGAGGCACGGGGGTGAAACACCGCCAATTTCCTGGTCTACTACTAAAAATTTCTCGACAAAAACCCAGTAACCGATTTTGGCACGACGTGGGTTCGAACCCGTGATCAAAAATCACGGTTAGGTCAGACCACTAGACCAACAAGGCAGTCATATCATAACATCATATACTTAAGGAAACATTTATTTTAGTTTGAAAGCTGAATGGCTATATAGCCAAGGCAAGGGTCGACATTTTCACGAGGGTCAGCATCGTGAGTTGTGTGAATACCTTTCTACAACGTGTCCGCTGACTGCTGATGCCCTTGAAACCGACGAACAAAGAAAATTGAGACTTATTCTCAGCAAGGTAAGAAATATAACAATGTGCGAAAATTATGCAGGTTGCCTTTGCATCGATGGAGATTCGGTTAATGTCGTTCAGACCGAATTTCGGTCACGGCGGCCAGTCTCAACAGAGTTTAACTCGCTACGCAGGACACGGTTATAGTGTACAAGTGTGTAAGCAAACACTCACACTCACTCATTCTATTTCCTCATTTTTCCTGTCCGATGGGATGTTAATCCGACACGAAAGGCGAAAGATCAGGCGCAGGATATCCGCTCTTCGTGTTTTCCGAATCATAGGGTAAAATACTACCAACTTCCTTACACCGGGCTCCCACTGAGAGTTTCGTGATAGAAAAATCCAATAAGTGATTTTGACTCGGTTCGGGATTCAAACACGAGACCTGACTGATCAAGTATCAGCATTTGCGACTACCAGAACAACAAGACAGTTAATTATAGGATATAATTGGAGATTTGGTTTTGCTAGTCGTGACAAGGACTTAAACTTTATTCAATTAGATTATAGGTATAGGTATAGGCTTTTCCAAAAACATTTGTATAGGAAGTAGTAGGAGGTAGTATCTGGGTATAAGAATGCGACGAAAAGTACCTCGGTGTTGCGTGAATAATACAAAACAGGACGTGGCGTAGGAAATATAGAGAGAATTGGCTCCGTGCGATGGTTTTTAAAGACCGATTTACACTTCGAAAAGTATGGTAGCGAGTTAACTTGCGAATCTGGCGAGTTAAGTAGAAAAACTCGTTTGAACGGCAATTAGTGAGTTAAGTAGCAAGTTAACAATTAAGTTGATCTGGATAGCCGACCGGGCTATTTTTGGCGAGTTAAGTTCAAAGTGTTGTTCTGTCGCGCGTCTACTGCTTCCCACAACTAAACTTGCCGCTCGTGTTAACGAGTGAGTTTAGTTCAGTGCATAAGTTGGCAGGACGCATCGTGTTGGCGTTCGACCCTCAAAATATAAAATAGTATTTTTTTAACTAAAGGCGCCACGAAGACATTTGAACGCTACTTTTCACTTAATAGTTTACTGTCAACTGCCCTGTAACTAATCTCGCTACTGTACTTGTCGAAGTGTAAATCGACACTAAGGGGCGGCATTTTTTGATAGAAAGTCAGCTTTACCAACTTAAAATATATATGATGTCAGTAAAAATCAGAAAATAGGTTCCTACTGTATACATGAGATTAAAATTTAACTAAAATTATGAAGCAATGAATGTTCTAAATGTACACGCACACGTATGAATGCACGCACTTACTCGCACACACAAACACGCGCGCGCCCGCACACTTGCCCATTGTGTTGTTTTAAAAAAGGTAAGCTAAGGTACTGATTGAAAGGGTCATGAAAGAAACTGATGGAAAAATTTGGGATGTGGAACCGGGATTTAGAAAGGGAATGGGATGTACAGATCAAGTCTTTTCCATGCGCATGATCGCGGAGAAGTTTTTGGCCAAAAACCAAAAGGTTTTTTGTGCGTTCATGGACTTGGAAAGGGCCTATGACAGAGTGGATAGGGATGTGCTATGGCAAACACTGAACTCATTTGGGTTGAGCGCTGGCTTGATACAGGCATTGGAGTCTCTTTATAGGGACTCTAGTGCTTGTGTTAGGATCAACGGGGTCTACTCGTACTGGTTTGACATCCATAAAGGTGTCAGACAGGGCTGTGTGGCTTCCCCGTGGCTGTTCAACCTATTTATGGACAGTTGTTTGCAAAATTTAAAAGTTGAAGAATGCAGATTAAGAATGGGTGAGTTTACCGTCAAATGCCTTTTGTACGCCGATGATCAAGTTATTCTTGCGTCGTCGGCGGCCGAGTTGCAAATGATAGTTACATTAATGAACAGATCATTAAAAGAAAGGGGTATGAAAGTAAACGCAAGTAAGACGAAGGTTATGGTCTTTGAAAGAGAAGAAAGTAAAACGATTTGTGAAATAAGAATAGAAGGGGAGTTGATCGAGCAAGTAGATGAGTTTGTATATTTGGGCTGCGTATTTAGCAGGGATGGGAGATATACAAGGATATAGAACGACGAGTGATTGCGGGAAATAGAGTAAATGGGGCCCTGCACTCTATTGTGAAGAGTCAAAATGTGTCGAAAAAGGCACGTATGGCAATTCACAATGCTGTGTTGGTCCCTACTTTAACGTATGGTAGTGAAAGTTGGGTGTGGCAGAAGAAGCACGAGAGTAGAATGAACGCAGTAGAAATGCGGTCGTTAAGGAGTATCTTAGGGCTGAATGACAGGGTGAGAAATTGTGAATAAGAGAAGAGTGTGGTTTGCAAGATGATGTTGTGACGAGGATTAAGAAAGGAATGCTTCGGTGGTTTGGTCATGTGGAAAGAATGAATGAGGAAAGAGTGACAAAGAAAATTTATGTTGCATTGAGAGAGTTGAAGTGAATGGCAGAGTCGGAAAGGGACGTCCTAGACGAAAATTTATCGACCAAATTGGCGATTTATTGAAAACGGGCCAAATTAGGAGTACCCTTAACCGACGAGCATGTATGCGTAGGTGTATGGATGTGAAGGAGGTGAGAAAGGTGTGTCAGGATCGTGCCAAATGGAAGTCTGTAGTCTCTGCCTACCCCTCTGGGTGACAGGCGTGAGTGTTTTAAAAAAGATAGAAGACTAAAAATACGTCCTTAGTTTGAGGAGACTTAAGAAAGGAGCTTTTCATTATTTATCTAAATGTAAATTTCTGATAATTGGGTCAAATACTAAAAGACAATACTTAAAAAGCTTACTCATAAAAAAGTACATTGAATGTTTAAGTAGTTTACTGAAACCGTGTTTTATTTAAAGTACTTGTTACGGCCCTCAGTTACCCGACAAAAGTCGATTGGACTAGGCCCCATAGTAATCCAACTCGACGAGCAAATGGGGGGAGGGCACAAAGGCCTATGGATAATTAATTTATAACGGCTGCTATAAACAAGCACAAACTTACCGAATTACAGGTGTAGGATCGCCCACTAGGCGCCGTCAGGGGCAAGTAAATGATATGTGTGAGTGGTGTGTGAGAAGTGTGTAATGTAACCTGACGTCACCGATATAATCAGATAGCAGAACCACATGCGCTGCCCAGCTCCTCTTGTGCAATCACTCCAGAGGGCGTTAGCCGCTATCGGAACTCAGGTCCAACGTCACTTAGCACAAATATAATCGAAGATAACGCGATCGCCGGATCACAAAGTTTAGCGTTACACCCGAAAGCAAAATTCCTTCGTACACTTTAATTTATTTTAACTTTAATTAATTACACAAGCCACTCGTCGACACAAATTAATAGCAATCGAAGTTAAATCAATGGGTGTGTTTGGCAGAAAAAAGCGCTAGCAAGCGCTTGTAAGCAAAATGGCGATGGTAAGCGGTAAGCGCTGTCAAATCGTAAGTAGCCTTTTCCCTCCAGGACACGATGTTAGTTTTAACCGGGGAACCTAACCTAATTTAAATATATGTTTGTAAAGTATTCATATTAAAAACTTACCAATCATGAATTTTTAATAACATGTATATTCATTCATGTCATTATATTACTTAAAACTAATATTGCGGAAAACAACTTATAAACTCTACTTCAAAACAAACAAATTAAATAAGCAAAATGGCGGATTGTGTCAGCGCTACTGAAGTAGCAATCGTGTCCTGGCCGAAAACTATTTCAGCGCTTATAAGCGCTTGCTAGCGCTTTTTTCTGCCAAACGCACCCAATAACTCAAAATTCACAAAAGCCTCGTTGTCCACGTATATTAACGACAAAAGACAACACCATGGAGGCCGTCGTTATTCGACGCAGTAATTCTTATCAAAAACTCACGACCTCTAATCAACACGGTCGTCGCGCAAATCGAATGTTCTAGGCTGATCTCGCGACCCCCACCGGCGCGGCCTTAGCGGTCCAAGATTCCTACCGACTGCCAGGCGCGGTCGCCGGCGCAAATGAATACCCCCCCCCCCCGCAACCCGCCAACCGGTTCCTCGCCCGTGACGCGCCTTGCAAGTTTCAAGAGTCTCGATATTATTTATATACGGTCAATATGTTTAGGGATGGATAATAATGATTTTATCATTATTATTGTACCTCTAATGTTATCACCATTTACCCTAAAAAGCGGTAAGTACCGAATAAACTATTCTGAGCTAGCAATATTACGCGGGTGGGAAGTGGGACGGGCGCAGGACGTATTTTGTTTGTTTTTGAACAAAGTGTGAACGGAACGGAACGGAACGGCATGTGAACGCGGCTTCTGGTTATTTCTGTATTTTGAAAGCGTTGCAAAAGGAGTTTCCATAAATGAGATGCATGTTAGCGTATTCCTGTGTGGTGTATCTTACTCGTACTTTTATTTGATATTATTCCAAATTGAATTTGATTCATGGGTAACAACATTTTTGCCTACATATCGACCCATACAAATACGAAATACGAATGTGTGCGTGCGCAGTAAAAATCAGTAAAAATAATGCCATCAAAGACATAACTTTTTAAAAAAACCAAGTCTCGCAACTCAATTCTTCTATCGTAAAAAGTTGTGAGATTCATGTAATACCAAGTCGGTGAATTTATTCAGTCCCTACTTAAGGGTCCTTCTGTTTTAACTTATTACGTAATTAACTAACCTAACTACATTTATGCAAAATTTTTTTTTTTTTTTTTTTTTCTTTACACCTTATTATACATATACAAGTACACTGATTCATTCACTGCAAATTTAACTTTGTAATTCTATATATTTATATAGGATTACAAAGTTATTTATGCAGTTGGTGTATCTAGAAAACTGGACCGAAATAAAAAAATATTTTAGTTTTTCCTTGATTTATACACTAAACACTAATTGTATTCTAAATTTGAAGCTTCTATGTCTGCTAGAAGTGCCTTAGAGTTTTGATGATCGTTCAGTCAGTGAATGACAAAATTAAGAAACTTTGACTAGTTATACTTCTTAAACTTGGTATATTTGCAATATTTCATTCACTTTGAACCAGTATTCAAATTGAATGAAATATTGCAAATATACCAAGTTTATATAATGTTTACTCAGTTACTGAAAATTCAGGCTTCTAGTTTTATCCACTACGAAGTTATAGGGGGGTCGAAAATGGCCTGAATTGCTTCGATAAAAGTATGGTGCCGCTTTTTTGCTCGACTTGGCGGGGGCAGTGCCGTGCCCCCAGATGCATTAACACGCATTTTGAATTTAAAAGATAAAAGGACAGAATGTTTGAGATTTATTTAAGTAACTTATAAAATATATAGTTATTTATGGGATAAATATACAATGGAAAAAATGTAAGTATTTTAATTAAACATGTATTTATTTCCATATATAATCCATTATGTAACCTTCTCAACTATTTTGTGCCCCAACCGGGTCACAATGATCCTCCCTCCTATGATAGTTTATTTTCATCTTTTGTGCATTGTGGCTGAGAAATAAACAAGTTGTAATTGAAATAAATTGAAACAATTAATGGTTAATACCTTTTCTGCCTGGTGGTCCCTGCAGGTAGGTATCACGCACTTTCCTATTTCTACCAGCAAATAGCAAAGCTTGCCCTGCTGTGTTCTGGTCTGAAGAGTATAAGAGACCCACGATAATTTAATTTAGGATATTGTAGCACGAATGAGTCGACTTGACCGGGGTAGGGCCACGCTCTCACAGAATACCAGCGTAAAATAGCAGCTTAATGCTGCTGTGTTTCGTTTGGTGAGTGTAGAGAACCGGAGACCCTTTTTACTGGCAACAAGGCATTCCATCTTAGTCCTCACGAGTGGCAACACATTTACATACTAATTCTTAATAGGATAAATGTAGATGCCTATGGGCCACAGCATCCACTTATCATTAGGTGGACTGTGTGCTCGTTTGTCACTCTTATTTTATAAAAAAAGTATTTGGAGATGATCATTCATCTGTAGTCTTTTTTCTTTTATTTGTTTATTTTCTCTGCGTGTTTATACATATGGTAGTAGAACGCAAATAATGATGTTCTTTGAAGAACAATAAAAACAGTTTCAATTTTTTTTTGACTGCTCCGTGGCGCAGTGGTTTAGCAATGATTTACGGCGCTGAGGGTAGAGGTTTTGAGTCCCGCACGTAACATATAATTATTCCGGGTCTGGATGTTTATACTTGTAAAATTTATGTATGTAATCTGCCTCCACGATACAGGTAAAAATCCTGGTGTAGCAATAATTTGTTATGAAATGAAAAAAATATATTTTGTATATATTTTAATTGCAGGCACAACATCATCAACAACAGCTAAAGGATTACAACCATAGCCCTATAAAGGCAAAGTTGCAGTCTCCAAGAATGCAGTGTAAGTATTTTTTTCGTACAATATACAACATGTAACAAAAACCCTGTGGTTCCCGTTAAGTGCGTTATCAGAATCAGTATTCAAGCGTATAGATAATTTTTTTTTTCAAATAAATATGTTTAAAAAATTAGTTTTAATTATAAAACAATTTAATTTGCAATTTGTATGTGATTTTATTGTCTCTACATTGACCGAGGAGTAAGAGGATGCGGAAAGACCCGCGTTACCGATATTCGTGTAAAAGTAAAGTTACAGCCTATATAAGGCCCACTGCTGAGCACAGGCCTCCCCCTCATTTTCTGAGAGGGTTTTAGGGCAAGGAAGTGTCAGCCGCGCTGCCCTAATGCGTGTTGGCGAACTTCACATGTCTTCGAAATAATTTTTTTTCTTATTCCTCAGACATGCAGGTTTCCTTACGATGTTTTTCTTCACCGCCGAGCACGTGGTAAATCAGCACTTAAAATTGCAATTAACAATTTCATTGGTGCCGGCGGGGATCGAACCCGGTTTACTCGCGTTCTGTTATATTTACAGCGAGCGTTAACCATCTGAGTTACCACGGCTCACACGGATACTCGTGTGAGTTAGAGGAAATAAAACCACATACAATTTGCAAATAATTCTATTTAATTAAATTAAAAACAATATGGTAAAATTTTCAGATTTTTTTTCTATACGTTTGAATACTGACTGATAACGCAGTTAACGGGAACCACAGGGTTTTTGTTACATGTTGTATAACTGAAATATTGTACCTTAATCAAATGTATCTTTTTTAAAATTCATTTTCATTTATTTGTGAATACAGTGACGGTGTAAGAATGTCCACTACAACATACTGTGTCGTGGGTATCGTAAGAGGTGACAGAACGTTGGCAGCAGCATCTTTCTGATAACTACTCAAAATAATAAAAACCTGTGGTTGCCACCCCACCTCCCATAGATTGTCTAAGAGGCCCCTCCCATAGAATCTATGGGAGAGGCCATGTTCAGCAATGTACTTTTATAGACTGTAATGGATAATGGAAAATTGTAAATTATTATTTTTATTTTAATGTTCTCATAGTTTTCGAGAGGCACTTTTAGCCACTAGGGCGGCACTACTTAAGAACTAGGTGATGAATATTTGACAAATTACATAGCTCTGTTTCTCTCTAAAATATTAATACGCGATAGAGCTACGCTGCAGCTATATTATGGTTGTAGCACGAATGGGTTGGCTCGACCGGGGAAGGACCATGCTCTCACACAGTGGCGAAGCTAGGGCTCCAAACTAGGGCAAGCCCAAGACATGGTTTTGTTGTCTTTAGCAGTTTTATAAAAATACACCAGTCTTGATCTGCCTCCACTCTTCAGTTTCATATTCAGTGCTGTCAAGGACGTGTTTAACAAAGCACACAGAAGGCATACTACTGCTAGATAGATTGTATGACATATCAGCAATTGCATACCTTCGGTAGCTTTGAAAAAAGCCGCTTGAATTTGCTTGAGCGAAAGAAAAAGATTTTCATATACAATACAATACATGAACAAAAGAAAAGCATGAACAAAGTACAAACTATGTACAAAATTAAAAAAAAACAAGCTACTTATATTCTAAATCGATTTACTCGGATAACCTGCGCGACAAAGATGTTTCAATCCGATTTTTCCAAAATTACTAAACGAAATCACCGGATTCATGTGTTTTTTACAATTCATATGCCTTTTAATGGCTCCAGATAAGTTATTTAAATCATCATATCTAGTAGTATTTCAAGCTGTTTTGTCGTTGGAAAAGAATATCCAACAACAACAGTACAACTTATTAAAAAGTTTAAAGATTTTACCTTTTTCTCGCCGATTAGGACTTTAACATACTTCAATTCATCACAAGGAACACCATTATCCTAAATTTTCACTATAAGACTTTAAAAAAGCATAAACACCACAAAGTAAACATTGGTATGTGAAGTGAACTTGCAAACGTATCCCGCGCTAGACGTGCTCCTTCGCTCGAATAACTATAGTCAACCAAATCTAAGAAATACCTTTTGATGTTTCACATTAATTATTCAGCAATAACTTTTCACAAGCGTACTCACACGATTTAAAACAACCTTTTTCGTAAATCCGAAGACTTATGAGGTTATCTGTATTTCATTACAATATGTATAGTTTTTTATCACTAATTTAAATTCTAATCTTTCAAACAAATCAAAATATTAAAAAATAACCAGTATCAACTTTTATACTTGACGCCGCTTCAACGATATGTCTCTATGTATGTTATGTACCATAGTGTTTGGATCATTAAAATTCATTGTTATGCGAATAATCGGCAAAAATTTATTTTTTGATCTGTTATTTGTTTAGTAAAATTTTTATTTTCAAAATTCCTTAAATTATATGAATCATGAAAAAAAAAACAAGTTTATTTTTTTCACTTTGTCAACGTAAATTTGTATAGGAAAAAACTCATATACAACGCCGCGCCGAAAAACCCATTACGTAATTTCAATCTCCCGCCATTTCGACAGCTTACTGTGCGTAATTTTGTGATTGTGTGTTTGTCTTCTTATTGTCTGACTCTGCTTTAACATTTTGGACTGTTTCTTCTATATTCGTTGAAGCATGTGCCCATATCACAAAGGATGATTGACTAAAAGTGGTAGAAAAAACAAAAAATTGATTATGGATGACTGAAAGAGACATTAATTTTGACTGCATTATTGAAAATCAAATAAGAATTAATCTAAACAACGACAGCTCAAGTAGCTGTACTAAAAGCGATTGAATTAATTTATTTTTAATTTAGTTTCAATCTTAAATTTTTATAACTTTGCCTCTAGAAATAAGCAGTAACAACAAATACGAAGAAACTCATAAATCTTGTGTTTTAAATTATCCGTTATGAATTTATTTTGGTATTATTCAAACCAAACTAAATAATTACCAACTATAAATAATCTATATCGATTTTTTTAAGAATCGAATATTGTACGTTCCCTTTTTTAGTTGGCATGCTTGGCGCAATAAGTCTGACAGCTGTCAAAATGTGTTTCTTAGATTTGGTTGACTATAACGACTATATTTTATTATAGCACATTTTGCCACAGGTTAGAAAGGGTGCGATCGTATTCTTAAAAGCCCGGTAAAAAGCCCACGCGTGCGAGACAGATGAATAAGCACTTAATTCCACTCCTTTTATAAGACGGCAGTATCGCTAAGGCTAAAGAATGCGCGGGAAATTTGAAATAGTTTGAAACAGTTTACGAGTTATTTTATTAGTTGATATTATTGATTGAGCTGTTTATTAGGACAAGCCCGGCTTTTTGGCTTCTATGGAGGCTTAGCCACTGCTCTCACAGAATACTAGCGTAAAATAACAGCTTAATACTGCTGTGTTTCTTATGGTGAGTATAGAGACTCGGAGACCATTTTTTACTGGAAACGAGGCATGCCATCTTTGTCCTCAAAGGTGACAACGCATCTACCTTTTGATTCTTAATCGAGGATAAATGTACAGTGGGTGTTCAAATTATTATACTCAACATATTTATTCCGTTTATTTAGTATTTAAAACCAATTATACTTTACAACGACGGTTTTAGTTCAATCAAATAAATTGAAAATGATTAATAATTTTATGCTTTATAGTTTACAACACTAAAATTGTCTACTTTTAACTAGGCAACACTGTAATAGCCGCCATTTTGTTTCGTTGTCAATTTTGCATTTCTGTAAGCACATGCTCTCTGTGTCTTTATTGTACATAAGTGAAGGATTTATTCAGTAAAAGGTATATTTTATTGATTTTACTTTGTAATTAGTTATTATTCTTCTTGCATTTCGCTGTTTTTTTTTTTTGCTGTCTAATACATATTATATTGTAAAATTCGTCTTTTTCATCAACATAACCTCACTTTCCATAGATTTGAAGATGGGGAAGCGTTCTGACGTGTCTCCAAAAAAGAAAACTGAAAGTAAGACTTTGCTACAACACTGTAAGTATTCTCGAAGGAAAATAGCAGAAATGTGCAAGGTTTCTCAATCTACAGTGCGTAATATCAGTAAAGCTGTGCAACAAGGGGAGTCCATGACGCCGAAACGTTCCGGAAAATGTGGACGCCTAGAGTTTGCAAAAAAATATAAACACTAATAAAATTAAATCCCAACCCAAGCATACAACTGCAAGACTTCAAGATACCATAAGTTCATACTGTGTAGATCGGAACAAAAGTTAAATTTTTATCTATGGTAACCGCTGTTAACTATGACATTTGGACGTTGAACATCTCAGTCCTCCCCGTTACCATGGGTGCTGTAAAGCGCTCGAAAGGTCGGGTATTTATAGTTAAATATACGCGATAAAATCCGTAAAAACTAGTATTATTTCAAGGATTTCCTGTTTATGCTTCACTCAGCCCCATGTCATAAAGCAAAAAAGTGACAAAATTCCTAAATGATCATCAGATAAAGGTGTTGGAATGGCGTGGTAACTCTCCAGATCTAAACCCCATAGAAAATGTGTGGGCTCCATTAAAAAAGGAAATAGCTAAAGAAAAAGTCATAACTAATAAGCAAGAACTGATTGAGAAGATAATCAAAGCTTGGTTTAACACCGCAGAATTAAAAACAATATCAAAAAATTGCATAGACAGCATGCCTCGTCGACTTCAAGAAGTTATTGCACAAAAGGGTGGTTTTACAAAATATTAATTTGTAAAAAAACTTGAATTAAATTAACTTTTTACACCAAAAACATGTTAAATTATTTTCAGAAATAGTTTTGTAAGCTCTAGTGAAAAAATAATACCAGTAAACAGATTAAATTTATTACTTAAAGAAATTTAAACTTAAAAAACTTAAAAAATTGAACATCCACTGTAGGTGCCTATGGGCCACAGCATCCACTTACCATCAGGTGGACTGTGTGCTCGTTTGTCACCCTTATGCTATAAAAAAATTGGTTATACTTTATGTAAATTAGATTAGAAATAAATAAAACAAACTACAGATATTTCTAAAATTATTGAACATTTAAATTAAGAGTAAAAAATGTGAAAAACAATAAGGAACAATTATTTATAGAACCCTCTAGAAACCAAAGCCAGCAATTACTAAAAAAATTCAAGAAAATATGCCCGATTGTGCATTATGGTATTGCAAGTCACGATATGGAGCAAAAAATGAACGCGATTTCGGTATATTATTGTAAGAATAATTTATATTTACCAAATAAACTTTAAATTTTATTATTTCTAGTAGATTTTTCTAGAAAATTCATTATTATTGTAATAAGTGCCCTCTGTTATCCAGTAACGTAAACTTCATTGATATGCGAAAAATCGGCAAAAATATTCAAATAATCGTTAAAAATAAGTAATAAATAAATATTTTCTAAATCTAAAAATACTATATACTAAATTCTAAAAAACGTCAAACTCGTATGTTCTAAGATCTTTATCTGTCTTAACTGACGAATCGTAACAACTACAACAATTAGCCTATTAAGTTTTGTATTTTGTATGATTATTTTTTGTATAGCACGTAAGTTTGATTAAATAATATATAGTAAATTATTTTATTGATATCTGTAATGGTGACATAAGTAGACGCTTAATAATCCCATCACCTATTATTTTGCCATTGCCATTTGTGTAGGCAAAAAAACTCATATACAAGGCCGCGCTGAAAAAACCACTACGTAATTTCAATCTCCCGCCATTTCAGGAGCTTACTGTGTGTAATTTTGTGATTTTGTGTTTGCCTCTTTAACTTTTTGGACTGTTTCTTCTATATCCGTTGAAGCATGTGCCCATGTCAAAAACGTTGATTAGGCAAAATTGGTAGAAAAAACAAAAAAAAAAAGATTATGGATGACTTTGAGAGACATTAATTTTGACTGCATTAATAAAAATCAAATAATAGTTAATCTAAACAACGACAGCTCAAGTAGTTGTACTAAAAGTGATTGAATAAATTTATTTTTAATCTAGTTTCAATCTAAATTTTTTATAATTGTGCCTCTAAAAATATAATAATATAATAACAAATACGAAGAAACTGATACGTTTTTAATTTATTCTGGTATTAATTAAAATTATTATTATTAAAATATATATTATTATTAAAATTCAAACTAAACTATAAATGATTACTAACTAATTATTAACTCTAAATAATTGATATCGATTTTTTTAAGAATCGAATATTGTACGTTCCCATTTTTTTGGTTGGCATACTTGGTGCAATAAGTCTGACAGCTGTAAAAATGTATTTCTTAGATTTGGTTGACTATAATTAACAATGTTTTAGTGATTGACGGCGTGCCTGAAAGGGATATTTACCTTATATTTAATAGCGTCACCTAATGGGGAATGGCTAAAATGTTTTCCTAATAAATATTCAGCGTAGTATTGCTATGTTTCGCTAGAGAGCGTAACACACGCGCGAGCTCACAGTTTTTGTATGCATGTGTTCCCAATGTCCACTCTATAATATATATCTGTAATGGTGACATAAGTAGACGTTGGATGATATACGAGTACAACATAATATTTTAAAGTTTAACAAAAAAGTCCAATAATAACGGCATCGTACTGTATAATATACAAGTTATATGTATTGCAAGAACCGCTTGATCCTATTCACCCATGATTTATTTTGCCCAATTATAGTGGTAGGATTTACTTTCTACATAGTAGCTATTATTTCTTCTGTGCCAAGAGTCCGTCTGGTTCTGGACTCGACTCGTCTGGACCACACTCTTACATATTGTTTATATATATAAAGTAAAAAAGTAAAGTTACAGCCTATATACGTCCCACTGCTGGGCACAGGCCTCCCCTCATTTCTGAGAGGGTTTTAGGGCAAGGAAGTGTCCGCCGCGCTGCCCCAATGCGTGTTGGCGAACTTCACATGTCTTCGAAATATTTTTTTTCTTATTCCTCAGACATGCAGGTTTCCTCACGACGTTTTCCTTCCGCCGAGCACGTGTAAATCACACTTAAAGAAAAAGGGGGGACCCCGACGACCGCCCCTATTTTAAAGATATATATATATATATAAAAAAAAAAAAAAAAAAAAAAAAAAAAAAGATAAATGCAATTTGTCAATTTTATGACATTGTTATATATTGTGTAACAAGAAACTTCACCTCAGTTCCAACTCGCAACATCTGGTGAGCATAAGATTATTAGCTGTCATTGTGTCCAGCTCGCGTGCCAACTCGTCACATGGGCCGGTCCCCGGACCGTCTGTCGAGCAGCTATCACGCGGCGGTTCGAACCGGCTCTCCCTCGATGTCCAACAGCAGCGAGCCGCCGCTGATCCCGCACGTCATGAGCCAGAGCTTCGACTCGCCCGGACTCATGTACGAGAAGCGGGACAGCGGGAAAGACAAAACTGGTAAGATAAATAAACTATAAGATTTTTTAGGTTGCTCACGTACAAGAAATGAGAGAGAGAGAGAGATAGATAGAGAACTAACTGCTAAGACTATTAAAGAAACTTTACTCATGTTGTGTCGAGAATTAGGATAGTAGGAGTGGAACACTGAAACTGGTAAGACTGAAAAACTTCATGTCCAAAAAATGGGATAGTAAAACAGAGGGAACTGATTAATAGTTCCACCAGTTCCCTGTCTTCCTCGATTGTACCTCGATTCCCTCAATGAAAAAATAAACAGACTTTATAAATTACCATTTAATTGAAAATTTCCATTGAATAAAACTACTTTTACGCATTTATCATGTTTAATTTTCTTAATTTTAATACCTGAAGTTTCGGATGCTTTCCAGCACTAATGATCACGGGGGACTAAGATTATTGAGTTGAATGACGTTGTGAACCTTAATGTTCGTGCTATGCTTTAAATAGTATGTTGTAGCTCAATGCTGCCAACAGGCTCGTTGTACTGGCGTAATGTTTGACATGATTTACTACTGCTTCTAAAAATTTTGGCTTACAGAACACCAGCAATCATCGAAACCCGTAAATCAATCCCTTGAAGCAGCTTCAAAGATGGTGCCTGTGCCCGAATCGCTCATGAGTCCTGATTATCAGGACCCCATTTACGACATCCAAAGAACCATACCAAAGCCAACCAATCATACAGCGAACAGTATTTCTAATACGTCGAGCCAATCCAGCAACAGCAGTATTCAAGATGACCGTCAGAAGCAAGCCAACAAAAGTTTAAGGGGCTCACCAAAGTTACCAAAAAGTGCAAATTCTTCGCCAAAATTAAAATCTAAAATAGAACAACGAAAAGGCAGTCTAACAAAGTGCGAAGTTAATAAGAATGAGGAAAAGAAACTCAATGGAATAACAAACAATGCTGAAATAGATCAAATCGACCCTGAAAAATTGGAAATTATAAAGTTGGCTTCTAATCAAAGAAGACAAAAGAAGATGAGTGTGGAATCAATGGCAGCCATAACTATACAGAAGATGTGGAGAGGTTACAGAAGCAGGAACTTGAATAAAGATACATTAAGGATCTTGCACGCGATACAGGCAGCTAGAGCAAGACAACATATACAGTAAGTATTCATAGACGTTGAGTGGTAGCGTAAATAAATCTACTACCTCATGTCATCCCGTAAGTGTTAGAGGCGACAGAGGGAAAGCAGCGTCTTCCTAATTGTTATAAATTATTTTATTTAATTGTTAATGTTGTTACATTCAGTAGTAGACTTTGGCTGTAATTAATGAATAAATAAAAAATAATTTGACTTTTCAAGTTCTCACGAACGGCATAATTTACACCAGCTAATGTTTGACATTTTATCCAATTTTAAGTAAAACTACAGAGTTGGTCAGATAAATCAATTGCGTTTTTTCTTGTATTATGATCATGCACCACCACCGGCTTCGATATTGGATTTTTTCCTTTGGACATCATTTCATGACCATGGCAAGTTGAAAACATACAAACATCACGCTTATCGTAAAAGGAGAACGGTAGATTTAGTACCGCATACTTTTTTCGTTGTTTTGTTATAGAATTAATAGCAGATATTAAGGCAACTAAGCCATTAATTTTCATGTAAGTTTTATATTTTTAGAACTTGGGATTAATTAAAAAGGAACAGATTTTTAAATACATTATATAATGCAATATATCAGAGATTAGTCAACCAGTTTTGCGGGTTCTTTATTCATAAAGTATACTTTCAGGACGGTCCCATCAAACTATCAAGTAGTACAAATACTAAAAATTTATTATGTTATTATAATAATCCAATTATAATTCGTTTAATCACTAGGTACTTTCCTACTTTATTATATTTAAATAAAGGTCCATGTGCAATTTAGTTATGTATAACGATTACACGAGACTAAAATTCGCGGCACGTAACTCTAGTGCTGAACGAAACGTGGAAGGGATAGCTGGGAATGTTGACTGGAGAGCCAATCAGCGCGTGTGAACCATACACACAGCCAATACTACGTAATAACGCGTAATACGGCCAATTATGCGCAATAACGCAGACTAGACTTTCGTGCCGCGAGTTCTTCAAATAAAATCTTATATAAAAAAGTTTTGATTGAATGAATCTTTAGTGAATAAATTTATTAAACCTAAGTTTTTTTTCTTCAGGAGACTGACCTGTGATATGGAAGCAACCAAAGCAGCATTAGAAAGCGAAAGGAAAATCCAGCAGTTGCAAATGCAGGCCATAAATGCATTGTGGAAGAAAGTGTCCACTCTACAAAATGCTGGTTAGTGTTCAAAATTTCATGACGTCATATTACACAGTAACAGTACAGTTAGATTTTACATGTTCTTTGGTGGTTAAAGACGATGTTGTTAAGAAAAGTTTATAAATCGCTTAAAAATAAATGGTCAATGACCTATGAGACTTCGCAGTTAGTTGTACTAAAAGAAAATTACGTTTGAAACCTGCACCCCTTAAGGTATTGGAATAGGTATTAAAATTCAATTTCAAGTTTTAACTCAAACAAAATTTGTGGAGTATAAATTATAGTATGGACTAGACTCAAAATTTGACTTTATGGAACTTGAAATCAAACATGAGATCATCTCTGAATACCGGTCTAAGAAATCAATTTAATTTAACAAAAAGTGTAATCTACTTACCTTAAGGTAATTTTAACAAAACACCGTGACGGAAAATTACTCTAAAATAGTTATTAAAAGTATACACATTAAAATGATACGCTTCAAGAAAATGTTTATTTTTTATGACGAGACGGTTTGTTTACAAGCATGCTTTTCCTGATTTGAATACAGAATAATATAATGTATAGGGTGTTTGTGAAACGGTCCCGAAAACGAAGACCGACGATAATACTAACAATACCTTTGATGATGAGTCAGAAAGAAATTCGATACCGATGGAAAAAAATATCTTTTCACAATGTATTATTAGCTTTATTCATGCTCTATCGTGTTAGTATAGCTAAATGAAACAATATGATTTTAAGTTCCACTGCTGGATTTATGTTTTAAGTATTTTCATGATTTTTTTATGAAATTATAGTTTCATTTATTACATTCATCGGGATCGATTTTTTTCTGAGCCATCATCAAAGGTACCGTTAGTACTATTGTCTGTGTTCGTTTTCTACTTTTACCACCGGTGGACCAAACTCAAATATATGAAAGTTCTATAATGAAGTTAAGCGAAAAAATATCATATGATATGTACAAATTACAAAAACAAACTCTTTTCAAAGCCGAAGTTAACATTTACGGTGTATAGGCGCTTTCTAACGTATTAAACGTAATCCTTACTACTACTATCTAATCAGTACTATAGGCGTGTTAGCGTTATCCATAAAATAGTTTAATGTTTAACCTCTTAGCTACCAAGCGGCCGAATTCGGTCGCGGCGACATTTCGTCATATACCAAATGACCGAATTACCCACCCACCCACCTACAGCACTTTAATTTATAAATAGTTTTGGTTAGAAACTACTTTTCTATGAAGAAGTTTGGTATTATAGGCCCAATATGAAATTTTCTATCCTCTAGTGCAATAAAAGTCAGTTACTCTATGGTTATTTATTTATAATCTACATTAATTACGTACGCCATTTGCATATGGATGTTATTTTGTTTTGTTGTGTTGATTTTTGGATTTTCTAGTGTTTTATTTGTATTTTAGTATAGTGTTTTATTACAAAATTGGTATGAAAGTTTTTGTGTGAATATAATTTATCTTTTTACGTAAATAATTTCGAGTAATATATAGAAATAATAGTGATTTTCACGCTGCTGACATCCGTTTGGTATGTACCCGTTTTTTTTGTTAGCAAACTACAATAAAGACTTTTTGTAATGAAGTAAAACCTGACTTTTGTTTAGACCACAGGATAGAGAATTTTGTATAGATTTTATAATGCCAAACTTCTTCATAGAAAAGTAGTCTCTAAATATAAGTTTTAATGGTTTAAAGTGCTGTGGGTGGGTGCGGTCGCATGCGACCGCCGGCATTTGACGGACGCTTGCCACTGCATGGAATTTTGTGGTAATTGAAGGGTTAAATAAAAATTTAGTTCATTGTTTTTTTGCAGATGCCCAAAAGAATAGGATGTTTGATCCCGACGACAATTCTGAGGTGTTGAGACAATTGACCGAGACATGTTGCAATTTACAAGCCCAGGTTAACATATTATATTTACATATTATAAACTTTTTTATTTACTTATATTTCTTGAAAAGAGAAGGAAGTTTGTTTGTCATTGAAGTATAATATTTAAAAAAAAAACTTATGCAGGTGGGGAGTTTCGGAAAGAACTTGACCTCCGGCGGAAGCTGCTCCTGTATTATCATTTAAATGATTTTGATTATTAAATGTTTGAGCATGTAAATTTTTAGTGGAAATGATGAAACAAGAGCTTTGATAAAGATATAAATATCAGATTCTGCTTAGGAATCCTGAAATATTATTGTCATCAAAAGTTTATTTAGTTTCCGTCAAGATTTTCTGAGAAGTTCGTAAAGCGACGCATAGGCATAATGTGAAGAGTTTTGTAAACAAAAAATCAAATGAGACTAGGCTGCATGGTCCTTGACCTTTGCCTCTTAATTGGTGAATCGTAACAACAACAAACGTGCAGGTGGAGGAGCTGCAGAGCAGCATGCAGCAAGTACTGCGCGCGGTGTCGCACCACTGCGTGCCCACCGCCACGCACTCTGCCACGCTGTCCACCATGCAGTCTGCTACGCAAGCTGCCACGCAGACCGATATCAGCGCAGTGCTGACACCGCAGGTTTGTATCCGTGCTGCGCTGTATATGTTACCGCGTATTCCTCCCATTAACCCGTGCCTTGTTTGTATATATGAGAAATTACATGAGCCTGAACCAGACCTTTGTATACTCACTACATTAAAAAATAGGCAATAACATAAAACTGGAAAACAATTTTTAATTATATACGTGGTAGAGCCATGCTGCAGCTATAATATAGCTATAGCACGAATGGGTCGGCTCGACCGGGGAAGGACCACGCTCTCACAGAATGCCAGCGTAAAATGCAGCTTAATAATACTGCGTTTTTTATAGTGAGTGTGGAGATCCGGAGACGCTTTACTAAAAACAGGCATTCCATCTTAGTCCTCAGGGGTGACAACGCATCTGCGTGTTGATTCTTAATCGAGGATAAATGTAGATGTCGATGGGCCACAGCATCCACTTACCATCAGGTCGACTGTGTGCTCATTTGTCACCCGTATTCTATAAAAATAATAATAACATGTTTTTTATACGACTGTTTGCTGAATCAAAGTAAAAAGGAGAGGGTCCATTTCAGGCCCAGTCTATACAGTACACTATACCGTAAAAAAGTAAAAAATTCAGGGATTTTATTAAAAATAAAATCAGAGAATAAATCAAACTCAATGACTTGTTAAAAATAAAAATACAATCCCAATTTTAGATGATTTTACAAGATGGCGCCCTTCCAGTCATAAAATTATATGTCATATATCATGTCTCAAAAGTGACTTGTCATGAAATAGTGTAGTTAGTGTGATATTTTTTTTATTCCGAGCTTGTTCTTGCAGTTGTGAACTCGTGATAGCGTTTATTGTGTTTCTTTTGGATTTCTTTGGCAATTTGTTTTTTTTTTATTTGGACTGGATCTGTTATTACTTATTTGACTTGGCTTTTGTTTTATGGACATTTGTAGGCCATTGATATCGGACATCTGTAGACTATACATCAGACATCTGAAAACTGTATGCTAAGGTGTTAGTTGAAAAAGCTACGTAAGAATCTGATGGAATTGGAATGTAAAAGCTAAATTTAGAAAGGGGTAGAATTTTCTTGTTAAGAACTGGAAAATTTTCTAAAATCAGAAGAGTTTCTATGCATATTTAAAGTTAAAAACGATCTATGTCAAAGTGGACAGGTTGCTTTATGGCAAATACTAGCCGCGTTTGGATTAACCTGGCTTTCTACTATGGGATATAATATATATTATATCCCGAGATATAAATTATATCCCGGGATTGTCCTTTACACTGTGAGATATATCTTTTAACCAGTGTGCGTTCGTCATTAGATGATCTGTGGACGTAGCGGAAGCGTGGAAGGGTGTGCGGGGTACAGGAGGTGAAATATAATATGAAAATATCACTCGGTCGATCGAAAAAATATTTATAGTTTGGGATGTAATATATATTATTACATCTTAGTGGAAACGTGGAACAAATCTTAGTGGAAACGTTCCATTTTAAAGTACGGTGAGCGATATTAATTTATATCTCGAGATGTAATATTCTTTCCTATGAGCCCAACCCAGGGTCCGCTTTCCTACACTTCCTCCTCCACTTTGCGTCCCTCGCAACTATTCCATTCGCGCGCATGTCATCTTGCACGACATCAAGCCAGCGTTTCTTGGGCCGTCCTCTACTCCTGGTACCAGGTAGGGTCATGTCCAGGCATTTGTTTCCCACGTAGCTTGCCGGGCGTCTTTAAGATGTGGCCGTACCAGCGGAGGCGACTTTACTGAAACTTGTCAGCAATGTCACGAACATAGGATGCCGCGGATGTATGTATTCCGTACAGGTTTTCCGTGACGCCCACATCACCAAAAAACCCCGCACCCCGCCGCCCCCCCCCCAAAGGCCCTTGCGAAAAACCCCCCCCCCGGTCTTGATGTCGCGATCGATGTCTTCGGACGCATCAAGCACAGATCCGAGGTACCTAAAGTTGTCCGTGCGCTCGACGGTGTCGTCGCCTATACGGAGAGACGTCAGATCTGTGCTGTTGCAGGCCATATACTCCGTCCTCGCCACGTTTAGCTTCAGCTCGCCGTTCTCAAGCGCCTCCCTCCATGCGTGCACGCGTCTGGTGAGCCGTTCTTTGTGCGATATCATCAGCGTACATAAGCAGCCAAGGCTGCGTTAGTTTCTGTACGCTGGCTGACAGTTCGTCTAATATTACTCTGAAGAGATAGGGGTAGACGACTTGATGCACGCCTACGGTTATGGGGAAGGGGGTGGTAATCACCACCAGCGGTCCTGACTATTGAATCGGAGTTGCGGTACATGTCACGTACGATTTCCACGTAGGTCTCTGGTACCAACTTCGATCGCAACGCCCACCAGATCATCTGCCAAAAGATAAAAAAAAAGAACGTCATGGTGTGTGACGTCACCTTTATACCGCGGTAATTACCGCAATCCTGAACGGACCCTTTACCTTTGTGGACCGGCGTTATTATACTAAGCCACCACTGATCGGGCGTTATTCGGTCGCTCAGGATTCTATTATAAAGGTTAGTAAGAATGCACACACCACGAGCCCCCAGCGCTTTCCACGCTTCTATTGGCACCTCTTCCGGTCCGACAGCTTTTCGATTCTCCATGTGACGAAGAGGTGCGAGGACCTCATCAGGCGTAATCGGTGGCACGAGTGCATGGTTCGGGAGTTGTTCGGGAGGGTGCACTTCCCGGTGCTGAGTATTCAGCAAAACGTGGAAATAAGAGCGCCATCTCTCCTTCACCGCACGGTCATCGTACAGGAGCTCGCCATTAGGGCAGTTGACGCTGCAGCAGCGAGTAATATCTTGCGCTGCTTTGGCCCTAGAGCGCGCCAGTTTATATATGAGCTTGTGCCTCTCAGGAGTGTCCAACTTAGCATATAATGGTTGCAAGTGGTCACGCCTGGCTCGGCTACAAGCTTTCTTGGCAGCTCTTTTCGCGGTCTTGAGATGTAATATAAATTATATTATATCCCATAGTGGAAAGTGGGCTTTAAACACTGAGCTGATACCAACATTAAAATCTGCTTATGACTCCAGTGCTTGTGTCAGTACAATAGTTCCTACACAGACTAATCTGGCAACCTTAGAGGGAGAGTCTACACGACAAGGATATCAAACTGTACGATTTGTGAAAAAACCTTTCTGCGCAAGTTGGAAGATATATTTTGAAGGGTCTTTGTAACAATGTGGTAGAGCCATGCTGCAGTTATATTAGTAATATAGTAGTAGCACGAATGGGTCAGCTCGACAGGGAAAGGACCACGCTCTCACAGAATACCAGCGTAAAATAGTAGCTTAATGCTGCTGTTTCGTATGGTGAGTGTAGAGAACCGGAGACCCTTTTTACCGGAAACAAGGCAATCCATTTTAGTCCTCACGGGTTATAACGCATCTACAATTTGATTCGTAATCGAGGATAGATGTAAATTTCCACCACAGCAATCACTTACCATCAGGTGGACTGTGTGCTCGTTTGTCACCCTATCCTATATAAAAAAAAACTAAGTCTCCGTGGATGGTAGGTTACGATACTTTACGATTTTAACTACGTCCTTGTGTATTGCAACAGTACATTTGCAATACACAAATACACATAGTAAAATTTAATTTAAAATATCACACGATAAAAATACTCTTACAGGAAGAACGCTGCTCTTGGTTACGCCGTCCTCAATCGCTGGCGTTGAGCACGACAGCACCGCCATCATGCGACCATAGGTGAGTCTTAGCTTAATCAAATTTAAACCCACGGTCACGATAATGAAATGTTATTGATACTTCTATCAGAAATAAAGGAGTAAATATTTATTCGTTGCTACAACACTTAGAAAAATAAATCTAAATAACGAAATAATAACCGTATACAAGAAACAAAGCTGACACTAGATTCCAGTAACGAAAGCGCTACCACGAATTCGAAATAATGCTACAACAGAGTTACCGCAGCGCTGATATTCTTTCGAAGCCATACGAGGAGCGGCAATTTATTCTCGGTATTAGGTTGATTTGCTAATAACGTGGATAATTAAAAAAATAATTAGCTAACGACACTACCTGAGGGCATAAATAAGAAATTTCGTCTTGATAACTTCATTACTTCTTATGAAAAATTTCCAACTGAAAATAATCGAACACTATGTGGTGATTAAATTCCTTACTAAACAAGTAAAAACTCAAAAAACATCCATGAAGAAATGGTTACCTTTTAACAAAACTTTGAGGCAGGGAAAGCATAGAAGATGTCCCCCGCCCGGATTGACTAATCACAGCGGCAACAGAAGAAAATACGAAAATTATTGAAAAACTATTATTAGAAGATGCACGAATAAGAATTAATTTGTTAGTAGAAATACTAACCTATCGGTTGGTACCAATCACACCATGTTGCATGACTGGTATCAACCTAACAAAAGTCAGTGTAAGTTGGGTGCCGCGAAAGCTCACTGCGCTTCGAAAGCAGGCGCGGGTTCACTGTTGTAGAAAGTTTTAGAGCTATGACGTGATGACTCAACAATTGTTCGATAGAATAGTTACAGGAGATGAAACGTGGGTTCACCAGTATGACCACCCTGAGAGTAAACAGGAATCTATGAATGACATAAAAAGGGATCAGACCCTCCAAGAAGTTCAAATTCACTCCATTGGTCGGTGAAATCATGGCCACAGTGTTTTAGAATTCCAAAGGAATACTATTGATCGATTACACAGAAAAAGCTGAAACCATCAACGCAAAAAAATTCTCAGCCACTTTACGCCGTTTGAGAGAAGCAATGGAAGAAATGAGAAGAGCAAAGCTGACCTGAAGCGGGAGTGCTGCTTCTTTATGAAAATGCACCGGTTCACACAGCGCGGCTCTCCAAGGCAGCTTTACGAGACTGCGAGTTTGAGAAAATTAAAAGAAAATTAACACAGCCTAGATCTAGCCCCTGGTGACTACTTTTTATTCTCAAACTTAAGAAAAGACCTTCAAGGAAAGCGAATTGCTGACAATAATGAGCTCAAGTCCGCTATTAATAAACATTTTTCAGGTTAAGACGAAGAATATTTTTTCAAGGGAATAGAAAAGCTTTTTTCACGAACAAGTAAATGTATTGATGTCATGGGTCATCATTGGTATGTAGTCTACATTGAAATATAAAAAATATTTCATAATTTTATCATTTTCCTAACACATCCATACCGAGAAATACCGAGAATACATTGAACTTCGTATAAAATGATTCGCGTCTTCGTATAGAACATGGCCCTTCTCCTAAAGAGTTGTCTAGAAACAAAAGATGTTGCCAATCTGGTCACAATTACGACTGACAACCAATACAGCATAAAAAGCATTTCAATATAAAAAAACATGCGTGTAGTTCACATACAGTAAAAGTAAAACCTTCAGATACAAAGACCAATATAATAGAGAACACCATACTGTATTCTATCTCATTCTTTCGCAGGCTAAATTCTATATATTATGTGTATGTTTGTCTCTGTTTTTAGTGTTACTTTTTCGTTTCATAGAATTTCAAATCACAACGATTCAAAACATTTAATATAAGAATTGTTTATGTACTGGTATAACAGTTATAAGTATTTACTCATTGTTTTATTACAGTGATAAAACTAACGATGTGGTCGCTCTAGATATAGAGCGCACAGAGTCAATCATAGAGGATAGAGCGGACGCGAGTGATGACAACACGCAGATAGAACGAGAGCGGAGCCTTATTGTCGACTGATATACCATTTGACGCTTTATTATTTAAGATATTAAAGTTAAATTTGCAAAGCAAAGCTTAAGTGGATCAATTCCAAGTTTGGTGTGATTTTTTTGCGTTTTGATATATAAGCTTTTTTATTTCACTACTGAAGATTATTAAGTTATTTTTATGATATAATTATAGATCATATAGTCTAGATCCCACCACGCGCAGTAATTACGTTTCAAAATGATGCAAACTCAAATAAAACCCCCAACATCCACTTTTTTTTTCAGAAATACTTATAAAGATTAATAAAAAAAAAAAAAAAGAAAAAAAAAAAAAAAAAAAAAAAAAAAAATACGTTTACCCCCCCCCCAAGAAAACCACCCCCCCTATAGGTTTCAAAGAAAAAAAAAAAAAAAAAACACACAACCCCCCCACACTTTTTTTACCGGCCAGAATTGGAAACCCTACCCCCCCCAAAAACCAATACCTAAAAAAAAAAAAAAAAAAAAAAACACACCACACCAGCCCCCCAACCCCCCCCCCCCACGGTTTTGTGTACGTGACAGCTTCGTCTTACAATCGCGCTGGGGGAGAATATTCAAAGTTTTCGCCATCGCGTATTAGCTTTTTATTTTCGTATCTATTACTTAATTTTTGAGAATTCCCATGGTTTACGATTACGAATTCTTCTTAGAAAACATAGAAAAATAAATTTGGAAAATCCAAAAGTCCTCACATCGATGCCCCATTTGATTCTTAATTGAGGGTTGATGTAGGTGTCTTACGATCTCGTACTATATAAAAAATTAAAACACAATTCTCCAAATGTATATCGACTGGTTGATATCTCGCAAACTAATAGTAATTTAAAGATTTCATTAATGTATTGGGGTCATCCAAAGGGAACGTACTTTAAAAGCTTCTGGTAAGAAAGCTTAGTTGATTAATAGCTGCACTCATTTGTAATCATCAGTATTATTCTTCAGTAGTGTAGATAATCTTCAGTAGTGAATAATGCAGTCTTTTATATTTTTTGTTGATCTCTTAAATTTAGATCTATTATTGTACCGATCGATTCGTTTTTCGCTTTGGCTGTGTCGACAAAAACAAATCGATTTCATCATTTAATTGTTTTTAAATTAGCTACGCTTAATAAACCTCATCTTTACCAAAAAATACCCACATTCAATATTCAAAAAATTACCAAAAAAAAAACCCACTCAGGCGATGCAAACGAATTATTTCCGAAGAGGTGTTTAATCAATCACAAATCTACGTAGACTGTAAGTCGATGTTGTTACGTGGTCTAATTTTATTTACTTCTATATGACAGTTATGTCGTTAAGTATAATTTGTTATCTGTGAAAACATAAGACTAAAGTTTACATTATAAGGTTCAAATGGTGTGTTTCTAAATTATTTTTTAATATTTTTGCATACATAGTGTTCATGACAAAAACAAGCAAGATTTACATATAAATATAAGCTCGAAGCACATAGACGTAGATTATTATTTAAGTTCTAAGATTTTGCCTTCTAGATATATTTTTTTAATTAAGAGGAATGATTGCGATTCTATATTTATTTTTATAATTTTCTATGATTCTTTTAATGTTTTTGCGCGTAATTAAAGAACATTTACAGAAACAATTTTATGTACATCAATTCACGACCTGTTTTTCAATAATCACGAGCAATACTTGAAAATAGCTAGTGGTTAACCTGCTGTAATCTGATATTTTTATGGAAATTATATTTTTTTTAACAAATCCTCAATTCTCAACAAATTAACGGTAGCCATTTTATACTTCGAGCTTCATATCAATACCTCGTAGAAACGAATTACCACAACGCTATTTCAGTAGAATTAAAATGATCTGCACGAACAATAAAAATTAATCCCTATTCCCATATTCTATATGTGTAATTACTAACTAGTGTTTATCGATAATGAAACGAATTTTCAGTAGTTAATCGATTTATAGCATTACGTGTTTAGATTATTTTAATTCGTTCTTCATTCTCTAACACACTGCCATTTTACAAAAAGATTGGAGAGTTCAAACAATGTAAGCACTTTCTCCTTCACTTTTACAAGTTACAATCAACAGTTTTAACTGTAACAATACTTAAAAAATATTTAGAAAAAATACTGCCCTGATAAAAACGCCTTAATTAAGTTAAAAATGTATTTTCTAAATGTCCGAAAACTTTGAAAAAAGAAACATACTGACAATAATTTATTATTGCTAGTACTGTTGAGAAGTTGTCGATATATTGTTATACTATGTTCGATAAACCATTTCAAAGTAAATGAAATATGCATAAATGTAAACTTAATGTATATCATCTATACATACACAAAGAATGAAGAAATAGTCTGTCTAAAATGTGAAATTTATCGATAGATTTCATATATTTTTTTTTATAGTAGTATATAGTCATGTACACTTGAAGTTGCAACATCACAATAGCGTTGTACGTTGATATAAATTTTCCAACAGCTCGCAGGACCATAATGTATAAGACCAGAGAAGAAGAAGATAATGTTTTCGCACTATTAACAAATAACTTTTTTGATATTCACAAGTATTTTTTATATTAATTTAAGATTTATGGTTTGTCTTTTATTGAAGTATTATAAGTGTTTTGTTAATTATTGACAAGTATAAGATACCATCACCAGTGATTGAGATGTTATCTGTATATAATACTAATTTAAGAACAAAATGCCTTGTGTACTGAGCTTTATTAACGACACTGTATAATTAGTTTGTTGTACACTGAATCTCTCGCTACGCTTGTATATTTTGTATTATTTTTATTCAATTCGAGTTTGCAACCATTTGAGTTTAAAGACAGCTCTAATGTGAGCCATTATCTGCAATGACTAACAAATGGACGATACTACCAATTTACTGGTGACTAACAATTTACTTATGACCAGCTAACAATGCAAGAAATACAAGAAAAAGAGTCTTTTTAGCGAGAGTTGATAAAAAGCAGGGTTTCTAAACTCTAATTACAAATTGCGGGCCGCTAATTATTTTTGTTGATAGATAAAAAAAACTCGCATCGGCCTCGCGCTTGTCAACAGCTGCGAGTCTTATACCACAACTGTTTTTGCGTCGATAAGCGCCGCAAGTCATACAGATTGTGATACGTAGCGACAGTCGCTATTGCAAGACGTTTTCATATTATTTATTACCTTTTGTCGAACAGACAACAGCGTAGTATTGAATTTGATGACGATGGTTGCAAATCTCACAACTCTTATTGCTATGTTTCCTAGTCATTTTTTTTAACAATGTCATTCAATATGTTAAGTGCAATTCGTATTTTCTCTGTACGTTAACTCGACTGCGACGTGTTAATAAGGGTATTGTGTGTAGAAGTAGATAAATAGTTTGGTTTATATGCCGTAAAATATAAAATAACGTATTTAATAATAAAAATATTTATTTGGATTTCCTAGTGTTACGAAATACTGACAATTTGTGAACGATCTATGAACCCCTGCCAAGTAAGTCCTTTGTTCATTAAGTATTTAGTTTGTACTCAGTATGAACTGAAGTAAATTTTCCAAATGCAGTCGAGTGTACTTTAATTGTTAATAACTTTTTATTTATTTAAATATAATGTAACGTAACACGTACAGTCCCATTAAGAAAATAAAAACCTTCGCCAAAGTTAAAGGAATGGATTTTAGTCCTATAAGTAAGATCGTGTTCTTACTTTGATATTTTGGCGAGCTTAATGTATATCGTGTATGTAGTGCATGAAATAGTTTGTACATATTTCTCTTCTTTTGTTAGGATGATTAAATTCTGCTATTTCTTCACCACCAAAGAAATAAAAAATTGCCCAAGAAATAATTAACTTATGACGTTTTTTTGTCACAGCGTTATTGCAAAGATGAATATTGTGAATTTTGCGTTAAACACAAAGACGTGCCAAGACTTACACGATTACTTACTAATTAAGTTGTTTTTCTACTAATTACTTTTCGAGTGACAAAGAATCGTAGACACACAAAAACTGAAGGATTTGGAGATATCTATGCATAATGTAGTAGATAATTGAACTAAATTAAACTATGCTCCTGGATCTATTAATGTGATGTCATTTAGATGTATCTATAATATCATTGGAAGAAACACTATTTTTACGGTTTTTATTTTCTAGTCGGACTATAACAAAGTTATTCCAGCACTGCTATAAGAAGAATTGATATTTTATTTTTAATTGTTAATTTAAATTTGGTCATGTTAACTTGTGACTTCATAAAATACAGTACATACTTGGTAAAAAAAAACCATTATGATATTGTCACTGGCAGTATCAATACACGCTTTAAGGCTTGAAGCACTCATTGAATTTTTTCGAAGCTTTCTTATAAAGTCACTTAATGTTTTTGATTTCAAAAAGGAAACCTTGTAACGGCTATAGTGTCTAAGGCTGCTCCTTCCATCTCAATTGTCTATGTCATGTGTATAAATGACGGAATCATTAATGAACCAAAACTAATATTAGAATTGTAAGTTGAAAGTGTACAACTCGTTAAGACTGAAACGACGATTCCACAAAAACTGAACAGAAGAAGCTGAACAGTAATGTAGTCGATGTCCATAAATCGATAAATTAATCATTATCATAAATCTTTCTAATAGGATCAACGTTTGTCTACATGCAAACCACCTTTATTGTAAATTTAAATTATCCGGATTATATTTTAAAATCTGGAATCGTTGTGAACGTCAATGCGGTTTCAAAGATACTTGCCGTCCTGAATAACCCAAATTTATCACATACCCACCTTATTTGTTGTCCATTATGTTAGAGCCTGTATTTATTATGTTTTATAAAACGTTTTAAATTATACCGAGTTTCATTCAGTCCTCTCTTTGTATATCCTTTACTTTACCGTTTTATCTTCTGGTTTACTTCTTTCTATGGAAGAAGAAGCTCACTTGATGGTAAGTGATCGACGTCGCTCACGAACATCTGAGACACCGGGGTAATTGCAGGTG